TTGACAGAGAGAGACATAGTGAGAGAGGGAACACAAGCAGGGGGAGTGGGAGAGGGAGAAGCAGGCTTCCCGTTGAGCAGGGAGCCCGATGTGGGACTCGATCCCAGGACCCCGGGATCGTGACCTGAGCCGAAGGCAGACGCTTAACGACTGAGCCACCCAGGCGCCCATAAAGATGCAACTTTGTTCCTGAAAGGCTTGTAATTATTGTTTCTCGTTTTGATTTCAGAAGCAAATTTTTTTTATCTTCTGTAGGATTGCTCTGGAATTTTTGGATTCAAGAGCTTTTTGTAGAAACATCCCTCACTTGAAAGGAAAATCTGCTATGAGAAAACGACAGTTGGAAATTTTGGGCTATCATGTAATTCAGGTATGAAATACTCATGTAATTTAGCCTCTAAAAAACCCCCCAGGGAACTGGCTGTACATATGTTTCCTTTTTTAAAAATTGGAGTATAATTAACATACAGTGTTTCAGGTATCCAACATAATGGTTCAACAATTCTCTACATTACTCAGTGTTCACCACGATTAAGTGTAGTGATCATCTGTCACCATTTTTTCAGTCTTATGGACTACATTCCCTATGCTCTACTTTTCATCTCTGTGACTTATTTCGTAAGTGGAACTTTGTACCTCTTAATCCCTTTTATCTATTTCACCCATTCCCCCTCTAGCCCCTGACAACCACAGGCCTGTTCTCTGTATTTAAGTCTGTTTTTTTGGTCTCTCTTTTTCTTTGTTCATTTGTTTTGTTTCTTAACCACATATGAATGAAGTCATATGGTATTTGTCTTTCTCTGTCTGACTTAATTTAACTTAGCATTCATTATACCTTCTAGGTCCAACCAGTATGTGTTCCCTTTTAATGTGAAAGTTCTAGAATTACCTTTTTTTAATATTAAAAAAAGTATATTAAAATATCTCTGAAACAGAACATCCTTCATTTTTCTTGAATAGTAAATAAAAATCATTTTATTTTATTCTCTCTAGAAGATCTGTTGGTTTTTTTATTTATCTTATGAGAGGCACTGTGGAGATGGGTAGAGATATAAGAGAAAAAGGCTAGTATATGTATGTTGGAAAGGTAATAGGAAGAATGTCTACTGTTGGTATTGTAGGAACAGGAGGATTAAAGGAACTGTAAGGAAGAAGTAGGTCTCTGGGCTTTACCAGGAAGAAGGACCGACTTGGCTTCTACAAATCGTTTATGTTTATGTAAACTAATTTCACAGGTTCCTACAGCTCGGCTCAGTGGTGCTTACAAGTCTTCCCTGATGTCTTTTTGTTGTTGCTTTAAAATTTCCATTCAAACTACATGGCTTATTTTACAGATCCCGCATTTTGAATGGAACTCTATGGCATTGTCAACAAAGGAAGCTCGGATGGACTACCTGAGAGAACGTATATTTGGAGAAGGCAAATCATGATTGTAGTTTTTATTTAAAATTAGTGACAATGGTGTGTCACAACTGAACTTATTTTAATTAAGTGGCCTGACTCAATGAAAAAATAATAGTACAGAATTGATTGATTTGAAGGTCAGTTGAATACCTATTAAAATAAACAGACATTTTAATTTCTCCAGTATTTCTTTACTATCTGGTTGGGAAATTGTATAAAATTCTTAATATAAAGGACTTGTAGCTTTTAAGAAACTTAAATAGTTTATAATTCATTCTTTGTCTACTAAGTGCCAGAAAGTGTTTTAGATGCTGGGGATATAGCAGTGAATGTAGCGTATTTGCCATGGGTAGAGTCAAACAAAATAAATGAATAAATTACATTATACCATAGATGATACTAAGTGATATGGAGAAAGATTTGGGGGAGAGGGGATAGGAATATTTTGGGTAGGTATAATTTTAAATAGGGTGATCTGAGGACTCACTAAGGTGGTATTTGAGTAAAGACTTAAGGAGGTGAGGCTAACTGGCAGTAGAGTATTCCAGGCAGAGAGACCAATAGGTACAAAGATCCTGAGGTAGGAATATGCCTGGCATATTTGAGAATAACAAGGAATCCTCTGTGGCTAGAGCAGAACAAGTAGAAGGTTGAGGGTAGAAGTGTAATAGGAGAAAAGGTAAAATAGAGTCAAATACATATGACCTGACCTCATGGCTATGGTGAGTGAGATAAGCAGCCATTGGAGAGTTTCTATAAAGGAATGATAAGAACCCATGTTTTAATTGAATCACTTGGGCTACTCTGTTGAGATGGGAAAAGACTGCAGTGAGGCAAGTGTATAAGCAGGGAAACCCATTAGAAGATCATTGCGATAATCCAGACAAAAAATAGATGGTTGGTGGGGCGCCTGGCTGGCTCAGTCAGTAGAACATACAACTCTGTATCTCAGGGTCTTGAGTTCAAGCCCCACATTGGGCATGGAGCCTACTTAAAATAAATAAGTAAAAAATAGATGGTTGGCTTAGAGTAGTAGCTGTGGAAGTAATGAGAAGTGCTCAGATTTTTTTGATGTATTTTGAAGGCAGAGGCAACAAAATTTGCTCACTGATTGGATATGAAGTATGAGGGAAAGGAGTCAAGGATAATTCTAAGTTTTTGTCCTTAGCAACTAAAAGGATGTTATTGCTATTGACTGAGATGGGAAAGTCTACGGGAGGAAGAAGTAGGAGGTGCAGTGGGTGGGAGGATCATGAGTTTGGTTTTAGACATGTTGAGTTTTTGATGCCTTTTTATTTTTTTTAAAGATTTTATTTATTTATTTGTCAGAGAGAGAGTGTGTATGTGTGCACAAGCAGGGGGAGTGGCAGGCAGAGGAAGAAGCAGGCTCCTTGCTAAGCAAGGAGCCTGATGCAGGACTCGATCCCAGGACCCTGGGATCATGACCTGAGCTGAAGGCAGACGCTTAACCGACTGAGCCACCCAGGCGTCCCTGTGATGCCTTTTAAACATCTTAAGTGGAGATATCAAATAGGCATTTTAATGAGTTTGGAGAAGGCAGAGGTCCAGGGCCAGATATAAATTTGGAAATTGTCAGCAGTATTTAATGTGATGAAAGTAGATGAAATCACTAAAATGTGATTAGAGGAGAGTGTGAATGGAGGAGAAGTCTGAGGACTCAGCTCCAGGTGCCCCAACATGAGGTCAAGAAGAAGAGAAATGAGCAAAGGAGGCTGGGCAGGGGTGGCCAGTGAGGTAGGAGGGAAAGTCATAGGTAGTGATACTTCCTAGAAGCCAAGTCGAGAAAGCATTTCAAGGAGGAGGAGGTGAGCAGTTGTATCAGATACTGCTGATGGCTCAGGTAAAGTGAGGACTGGGAAATGTCCATTAAATTTGGCAACATGAAGATCATTGGTAACCTTGAAAAGAGGAGTTTTGGGAAAGGGGTATGTGTGAAAGCCTGACTGGTTTAATAGAAAGTGGGAGGAGACAGGTTTTGTTTTGTTTTGTTTTTTAAATAAATGGAAGAAAAGATATGGAGTGGGAAATGGACTGATCTTGACCTGGTCTGATCCTACCCATGATGGGGGAATAATGATTTTCTCTTGTCTTACAACACATTTATTCAATAAAATAGTTACTAAGGGTCTACTATGTGATATAATCCCTAACCTTTCTTCCAATAGTGATGTATTAGTGCTGGGCAGAAAGCCATGTTGTAACTATCCTCAGGCCACCTGGTGGGAATGTAGGTAATTAGCATCTGAAACTTGCTGTCTTCTGACTTCATGACCATCTAAGTTCATTTAAGCTGGTAGCCAGAGTGCCTTGAGTCTTTTTTTTTTTAAAGATTTTATTTATTTATTTGAGAGAGAGAGAATGAGAGACAGAGAGCACGAGAGGGAAGAGGGTCAGAGGGAGAAGCAGACCCCCGCCGAGCAGGGAGCCCGATGCGGGACTCGATCCCGGGACTCCAGGATCACGACCCGAGCCGAAGGCAGTCGCTTAACCAACTGAGCCACCCAGGCGCCCTTGAGCCTTTTTTTTTTTTTTTTTTTTAAAGATTTTATTTATTTATTTGAGAGAGAGAGAATGAGAGACAGAGAGCACGAGAGGGAAGAGGGTCAGAGGGAGAAGCAGACCCCCGCCGAGCAGGGAGCCCGATGTGGGACCCGATCCCAGGACTCCAGGATCACGACCCGAGCCGAAGGCAGTCGCCCAACCAACTGAGCCACCCAGGCGCCCGCACCCTTGAGTCTTAAGCATAGCTATAAAACATGTGTCCTGCATAGATTTTGGTCTGTTGATATTTGATTTAGGTTTAGTTGAAGTACTTGTTCAAAATATTGTTACTTCGTGGGATGCCTGCATTGCTCATTTGGTTAAGTGTCTGCCTTCGGCTCAGGTCATGATCCCAGGGTCCTGGGATTGAGCCCCGCATCGGGCTCCCTGCTCAGCTGGGAGCCTGCTTCTCCCTCTGCCTGCCACTCCCCCGCTTGTGAGCACTCTCGCTCTCTCTCTCAAATAAATAAAATCTTAAAAAAAAAAAAATCATTACTTTGCATGATGTGAAATCCAATACATAATCGTTTTGCAACATGTAAACTTCACAGAACCTTTTGTGAAAAACAGGATCAAAACAGTAAGCAAATGAAAGATGTCTCCCCTAACCATTCTCCCTCATTTTGGATTTCCTTATGATATTCATTTGTATTAGCTGAAATGCTAAATTCTAAGTGTTTGTCTTCTATATTCATGAATGTGTTCTCTTTCCCAAGCAAATTATGAGAAATAAACCCTGAATAGGTTAAAATATTTTACTCAGCAACTTTTAGAATAAAATGATTAGACCGATGAGGATTATAGATTGTTTCCTTTGGATATAAATGAAAACCCAGTTATAGTATACTTTGAATACATGGAAATCTTGATTAAATGACCCTGTTGTACCTTTCACTTACTGTTACACATACTCTGATGTCTCATGTACCACATCTCTTACTGGTCTTCCTCTAGGCTGCCTGATTCAAATGGTTTTCTTTATATATATATACTCTTATATTTTGTGTTTGATGGTTTTTCTATTTACATAACTGGAGTTGTTAAAAGCATTTTTTAAAAGCATTCTTTTTTTCATTGAAATATAATTAACATACCATAAAATCCACCCTTTTAAAAATATACAATGCAGTGGTTTCTAAAATATTCACTTTTGTGCAACCATTACCACTATTTGATTCTAGAACATTTTCATCACTGCAAAGTATTATTTTTACAGTTTAATCTCATGTCTGTATAGATCAGCACTCTCTGCCCAATAGTAACCACTCTCTTGCTTTTATAGTAAGCACTTCCTGTAACAGTTTTTATCACTCAGGTTTGCATCTCTATAGACACCATAATTTGCACCTCCCCCGCTTTTAAGTGTGTCTTAATCTATAAGCATCTCCCACCATCCCTTTCTCTTCCAGTTTTTCTGCTGAACAACCTGTGGAGTTTCCCACCCTCAGGATTTGTTGATTGTATAATCGTGGTATAGTCTAGAGCAATATTTGTCAATACAGAAAAGTACCCAGGATTCTACTTCAGAGATCCAAAGTAAAACTGGTTTTTATTGGATGTTTCCATAGAGACAATAAAGCTGTATGAACACTCACCTGTTCTTTATGAAATTGCTTGAACACTCCAAATTAGTTCCAAGTCAGGTTTCTCAGAAAATAAGATGTGTAACGATAGAAGTCAAACATGTCTATGAAAGCATGTGAAACCCATTAGTGATGCTTAGTTGATGATTGCAGAGTTGAATGTGATGGTTGTGGACAGACCGAGGTGTCAACTTAGTGTGTACACTAAGAACGACATCTTGAATATGGTGTTTTACATCCCAGAAAATGCAATGATACAGTCACCTTTCTTTCTATCAAAAATTTGTGAATAGGTAGCTCTTTCATGGAAAAAATAGATAAAACTTAAACCAACAAATACACACCCTCCTCCAGTACCCTCACTGGCCCCAACTAATGCCCAGCAATTTAAAGAATCAATTCATTTCCTAAGGACAATCCTTAACCCTTCTATCACAGATACTGTAGTTAGGAGCTTGAAGACTGTGGTTTACTGGTTTTAAATTAAAAAAAAAAATTAAATTTGATTTAAATCATGAACAATATACTAGTATCACAAAAGGAATGGAGAAAAAAGACCCCTTGAATTTGACTACTTAGAGATTTTTCTCCTTCAGATGAGACCCACTTATTATACTTCTTAAAAAGCATTTCCAAAGTTTTCTCATGGCATGTAATCTTTAACATAATGCATAGGATTCTTGTCATATCTTGAAGCACAAGGGAAAGTGATATTTGATACTTTAAACATTAAAATGTAGATGTACATATTTCATTCCAATTTAATTTATAATAAAAAATGAGTGTGAAGTTACCGTAACAGTGCAAATGAAAGAATTAGTAAACAACTCAAATTTAGAAACCTTTACAATTGATTGAGACAGATTAACAAAAGAAATAATCCATTCAACTTAATATTTAATTTCTTACTAGAAAATGGTTTTAAACAATGATCATTACACCAAAGATTTCAGTGACTTTGAGGTTTTGATGCCCACTGCTAACCTCATGGACAGTTATTTAGTGAATAATTTCTACATGAATCTCTGCATAGGCTTTTGAAAACAGTAAATTAAAGCCCTATTTCCAAACAAAATACATCCCATTCTATTGTGTTTTTTCACCTCCCTGTTTAT